TCGGATTGTTCCTATTGCCATTATTTCATCTTTTGGATTTATTTTAGTTAGGGATTGGCCGTATTAACTTCTTGGCTACAGGGGCATTCTGCAAACCAACTTATTGTTCACTGGATGTTTTGAAAATATATGCTTTCGGGATCCTTAAAGATGCCCTTTCTACTCCTTTCAATGAATGGTTACTAGCAAACTTCTTTGAAGGCATTTAGAAGTTGGAGTATTAAGTTAGGATACGATTTATGGATGAACAACTTCTTTATTACAATTAAGAGCGACGTTTTGGTGGAGGTTCTAACACTACACTTGCCTGATAACGGTGTCAGAACCTGCACTGAATATGATAGTTGTTTATCCATAAATCTTATCCTTACTTAGTTACTAGCTATTTTGACATAAATTCCCTAATTTAGAACTTGCGATTTAGACATGCAAATGCAAGTACTTCTTAAGCCCACCTACTGTGTATGCTGATAATCTGAAACTGAAAACAAGATATACAGTTGCCATTTGGTCACAATGTCTCTTTTAACCATTTTAGCTGCTGCCATGAAGTCTCAAGTAAGCGATTTGGGGAAAGGGATTTGCCCTTTGCTGTGGCTGTGGGTTTGTAATTGAAATTCAATGTCTATTAAAAGTCGAAATATCACAGAGAAGATGATGTTGTTGGAGGCGAATATGTATCAATGTGTAACAAACTCCAGATAATGTGCTTTTGAAGAAAAAGGAGATACTCATCAGCTTATTTCATACTTCCCTTAAGGCATAACAGATGTATCTATGTGATACCTGCATATACACATTTGTATTTACAGAGGAATCCACGGGTGTTGACGTCGTTGATAGGGTCAGTGTTAGTAGATCTAAAATGATGAAGATTACAAGATAACAACTCCATTTTCATAGCAGAAGCAAATGTACTTGTATCTGGCCAACATGACATCATCTTTTGTTTCCTAACCAGTCATGTTGGAATCATTTGTAACCCGATGGATGATAATGCTTCAACAACAGCAGTACTCAACAAGTAGGTGACGCCACTTCTTTTCCCAAGTCACATCAATCCTGTAATTAGATGCTTCATCAAAGGTCTTAAGCGAAAAAGGTGGGTGGTAATAAACTTCATCACATTAAATCAACTCTGTGTTGTTCCTACTAGGGTTTCAGTCAACATTTGTAGAGGTCATTTTACGACGTATTTATCATACTACGTACACACATCTTTATTTATTGAAAGGAGAGGATCCTCCATTGTGTGTCTTGTGTTCAGAGAAGCAGTCAAGCATATGTAGAACATTGAGCAATGCTCATTCAAATTCTTTGAAGGATCATCTTACCTATGTAGAGATATAGCATTATTAGATACATTTTGAATTATTTCATACGTGTTTTAAGTATAGCATGACTTTCAGCCCAACCAGGATGATCTATGATGATGCAACGTGCAGTAGTGTACGAGTAGTTTCAAAGTATAATCTTCCTGCCAGTGGCACATAAGTCCATCATTGACCATCGTATATGACACCAACTTGTGTTTATGAATTTGTTTTGTGCTTGGCAAGCATAAAGTACAGACAACCGGTGACATAAATCCTGCTGTAATTACCCATGATCCCCATTTAGGAGGTATGACCTAATACTTCCCGCCGTCACTTTAAAAATAAACTCAAACGCTCACTAGACCAGTGAATCCGAGGTACATGATCCATATTGAGATTTTTCAATAACATTGCAGGACAAGAAAGTCTTTAAAATTCCAATAGTGTGTTGCCCGTTTCGCACGCTCTTTGTCACAGTCCTGAATATGCAAACAAATCCGATGTATTGGGCCTACAAGTGTTTTGTTTACTTACCACGAAGAGTTATTTACAATTCACATTATCTTCATATATCATTTTTTCAACCAAGACAAGATTCTTGCAACAGTTCCGATCAAGCTTGTTATTGTGTATCAGTGTCAGTGTCAATCCATATCCATAAATACCACAATGAATAATATTTCCTTCACTCCACTGTTCCATTCCTGTTTCTTTCCTCTCTCTGCATTTGTGTTTGAGTACGAAATGTGTGTCTCACACGCGCTGCCACTATGAAGGAATAGGCCTAGGGTCAAACAATAGGGTTTGGAGTAATAATCAATGTTCGTTTGTTTCTTTGTTTGTTTATTGTTGAAAGCAATCAGCAATATTTCAGCTACATGACGGCGTCGGTATACAATAGAGTCTGGACCAGACAATCCAGCAATTGACATCACGAGCATCGATCTACACAATTGGGATACGATGACATGTACCCTGTAAGTTATTAGCCAAGTTATCTTTACGACTTAGGCGTAAGGAAGTAAGTTATCAGCACTGGTGGGTGAGGTCAGTTCTGATGTTATTTGCCAAGTCACCATTACTACTCCTGTGTAAGGCAGGCATTTATCAGAACTGCTGGAAGAGGTAGCAAATTTTTTCTGGCTGAATGTTTCTAAAATAAAGCCTGACAGGAACATTGTTGTTCTTACATCCTGACAGTGAGGCATATTTAGAACATAATTACCTGTAGGTTTATTCGAAATCGTGCGCTTTAGCCAAACAGCTGAACATTGTAGTCTTGACAGCGGGACATATTGGTTGTCTACTGCCTGACAACGGGACAGTATTGTTGTTATCAGACTGGCAGCCGGAATGTATGGTTCATAACAACCTGCCTTCAGCGCATTATAGTTGTCAACTTGACATTTATGTTGTGAATAGCCTCACACCAGTACATAATGGTTAACACTGTTGCAGCTGGCCATTACAGCTCGAACAGCCTGTCAGTTAGGCAGTATCGTTGTCAACAGGACCAGAATAACTTGGTCCAGGTTAACCCATGGCATTTTGTCATAAGAAACAGCAAATAAAATGCTTTCATGTTGTTATAGAAAAACAATTTATTCACATCAGCAGGTGTAGATACAAATCACATACAAAACATATATACAGAGACTCATAGAGTGTGTCATTATGATTCCATGTGAGATACAATGGAATATATTGTTAACATTCACGTTCTTGTTCAAATTCAACATTCAAAGTTGTCCATTTTCTTGCAAAAACACAATGTTCGTCATTCTTCCTACCAAAAAACATTTCTGTAGTTTTTAGAATTTTTGTATGAAGGATAGAAATTAGGAATATCCCTTTGTTACAGATAGTGTAAGAATATTTAACAAGCCATGATATGATTCACTTGTTTAAAATTCCGCTTCATTGCAAGTAATTCTCTCTTGGTATATCTAGTTTGATGGAAAAATCGATATTGAAAATCACAGTGTTTAGTATCCTTGGTGCATTGTCAGATCAGGAGAAAAGTTGCTTTAATGTGTCAGTAGTAAATGCGTGTTGCCATACATTAGGTAATATGTATTTCAGCAAACTTAACATAAACGTTTCTTGCACCTTTAGTAGATTTCAGCCATTTCACAACTTTAGACATCGAACCCAACAAATATCAATATTCCTATTACTTCCAATAGCCTCTCCCTATTCGTTGCTTTTGAATACAAAGCGATAACGGTAAAAAACAGTACCTTTAATGTGATAACTGCTCAAGTTGTATAACTACTCATATGGACAAAATAAAAAAATACATTCATTTGAGTGTTCAAAGTGTTTCAATATATAGAATATAATTATTATTCTACACTATAAGTGATCGGAAGGAAGGGTGCCTTGTCTTTCGTGTCAAGATCAGACATTGTTTTTCAGCTTTTATGTGAACACCTCGCATCAATTACATTTTTTCCAACAGTCTAAGGCATAGTTATTGTTTTTCAAGAATTTTCGTCGACAATTTCATAAAACATTTTGATAAAATCCCAGCACCATGAAATAAATGAAACAATGTTCATGTAACCGACGACCTAACTTGGTGAAAAATGTCTTACTTTGTGTGGGGTGCACGGATGGTCCAGTCGTCTAAGGCGCCGTGATTCGCTGTGCAGAGTTGTGTCCCTTGGACACGCCAGAAACCTTTGATTGTGGGTTCGAACCCCGGTTCGCCCCGATTATGTTTCTTGGTTTGTCAGTAAGTGGTAAACGTCTAAGACCTGCATCGCTTGGGGCTTTCCTCCCACATTAAGCTGACACGCTGTGATATAACTTGAATAGTGTTAAAAGTGGCGTTAAACCCAACTCACTCACACACTCACTTTTACTTTGTTCATTGGTTGGTAAACGCCAACTAGTAAAAGTGCGACAAACAGGTCGATCGGACAACATTTATTATTAATACATGCCAGGAGGTACTCAGTGTATATATTTGAGCGCATAGTCAGTCATCAAATCAATTGTTTGTGAAAGTGGGTACATGTATGTCATACTGTATACCAGACAGGGAGGTAATATTAAACAATTCCAACTCTTTTCCCTGCCTACTTAACATTGAGGAAATACATATGGTGGACTTTACGTTTTTGTCATATTTCGACCTACCGATCTGAATGTTTGGTGCAAAGAGTTTGTCATTATCATCATTGGGTGAGGCGAAAATTGATGACTAACTTTCAATCCGAGTTAGCGTATGGTCTGATTGCATCAGGTGTCGTCGAATGCAATGGGTGACCTCAAATGCCCAATGGTACAATGTGACGTCATTTCGCGTCAACTCATCAATCAGCATTGCAAAACCGTCATTGTAGAATGAAACGAAATTAACAAGTCACCGAGTTAATCCAATTAATCACAAACGTTTATGAGAACCATTCGACCCCAGTCCCATATGACACCATGGCAAACATGATATTTGGTTGAAACCATATCAATTTTTGGAGAAATACTAGACAACTTACAAAATGATAATCTTAAAGTGAAGCTTGTTTTAGGGTCAACGAGAGTATATTTATATTTTAAACATAGTTGTCATAAAGTGTGAGAGAAGCTTGCTATATTTTAGTTGAATGTTTACATACAGAAGCTAGTGTAAGTTGTCCAAAAGTTATCTTCAGATGAAGACAACACTTTGTCAGAAAGCAGTCAGTTCTCATTGGTTGGCGACACTGCACTGTAGCTGAAGTCGATGCATGAATTATATCGGTGACAAATGATGCCACAGTCTCCGGCTGTCATGGCTGACGTGGTTAGGAACGGCTGAGACACCTTCTTGTTCTTCAGCGGTTTGTAGTAGGAACCTATAAAATATAGTTACTTTTTAGAGTCAGGAAGGCAAATCAGTCATTTATGTTATAATGAACGTCCCACGACATCGGGTATGATGACATGGAATCAGAAAAGTCTTCGCGACTGACAACCCGATCAGTTAAATCGCCTCTTACGACCAGTTGTTATAGAATTGGGCCTGTCTTAAACCAGATACAAATATAAAACATTTTAACTCACTCACTCTAACCGTGCTCAAACATATAGGGGATTATGACTTTGAACCGATTTGACTTTTGTGAAGCCAACGGTGAATCAATGGTTTACTCACGATATGGCTTCTTAGCCCCCTCCCCTTCAACATCCACTTGTCCGATATCGAGGTGTACATTGGTGGTAGATGGCTTTGTGACACGGACAAAGCGGACAGGGAATGTGGCATTGCAGGTAAAGGTGAACTCTTCCCCAGCAGTGACAGTGCTAGACACATTCCCACACCACTCCGACTGGACATCAGAGCAGAGACTGACATCTTTGTCCATCACCTCCACGAAGGCATTTCTCATGTAAACATCTGCAAACAAAGGAATATCCCAGTGCACGTGTCAAACATAAGATCCCCTGTTGCTGATCTGCTGATGCAAAACTAGTGTTGTGATGCACCATTCCCATTTAACAACACTGTATGGAAAGTGTTCAGATAACCTGAGAGTGTGTAAATCTTGAAAAATATCACTAGTGACATCCTACACAATTGATTTTGGTTATTGAATTGCGCTGAAACTGATATAAAATAATTCGTGGGATATATGGTGTGCAACCTATTTTATATATGTTTCTACATTATCACTCAATGAAACAAAAGTGATGTGTTCTGTATGAACTTACTCCATTTCCCGTAGGTGGCTGCTGTGAGGGTGATGCTGCTGATGGTGAAGTAGCCCCTCAGGTCGACCTCCCACCAGGACGGGCTGGCAAATTTTGTTAATGATCCAGATGACACATAGGCTTTATTTAAAGCCCGACTAGCATCATAGATCGAAGAGGTACTACTCTGTTTTGCATATTTTCCATTTGAAATATTTTCACCTGCAAGGAAAATATGTAGAGACTAATCATCTTTGTTTTAAAGAGTGCAGGTGTGGTGGGAAAAGAAATTCAGTGTTTAAGGGGACGTGAACCCCACTTTTTTCAGCTTAAATGCCAACAATATGTGAAACAGATACCTTACGCACATATTACTTCTTGCTATATTACAGGTAAGGTGAAAACAAGAAACTTGCTGATTCCTCGAACTACGTTCATAACAAAGGCATATCCTATCTTGGTGGAATCACATTACTTTCGGTTTGGACTATAGACACATACCAAATGCAGTACATATTTAGCATAAATTTTCTGTTTCTCTAATTACTTCCATAAATATAAAAGGTAAACCAAGAGAATAACCAGATTTGATTATCCTCTGAAAGATATTTCTTTTTGACGCAAAGGGTAATATAGCCACGAAGATTATATGAATGGACTACTGAGAACCACTGACGCCAGGTGTTGGCGAAAAGGGTAAGCATGTCCTGTCCTACCCTTAGCACCCGCCATTCATACAGTAGACATAAAAGGTAAGTATTTATTGCCTGACGCCGCCCGGCAGTAGTCCTGCCATCCGACGGCAGCATGAAGAAGAGCGATCCAGAAAGCAGCATGGATATCAGGCCAATCTTGACCCTCAAGGTCAGCTAATCATATCCTAGAATGTTCTAGTTGCACACCTCAGTGGTGTATTTGACATATGACATGTATTTGGATAGTTGAGTTTTCCATAACTCTTCAAATGAATCGGAAATGTCACGAAATGCGAGTCATGTTCAGAGTCAAGAGAGGTCCTCCAAATATTGATCAAGAACCCTCACTGGATATCAGTGTACAAATTATCATCAAGTTCAAGAAAATAATATCCAAGGAATCGTGTACACAGGATAATACACTCTGAGTGACCTGGACCTTACGCTGCTTCCCATCAGACTCCCAATGGGTGTATCTACAAGTATACTTGTATTAAGTCTGTAACATCTATTATAGAAGTGAAGATTTTTGTTTGACTCCAATGCAACTGTCTGTATAGTTTCCCAACTCAGTGACAAACTCAAAGAGTTCAATACATTTCTGCAAAATTAACTAAGAGAACATAGACAGCTTAAACGTATTCTTGGCAAGCTCAGCTTGGTTTGGCATGTTCGGTGAGCTGAACTTGAATCTGTTGCATAACTCGTCTAGCTGAGGGTCAGTCTACACAGTCACACATGCTGGACTAAGTAAACAGGTAAATTACCTTGTTGGCTCAAGCAGAGATGTTGACCAAACAGCAAGGAGGTATAACCATGTGGTCACAACATGGCCAGACGAATGTGTGGTCAATGTCCAGGACCGAGATAGATAGTACGGGACTTTAGCCCACTCATAATCACGTTTACGTCCTCCACGAGGCGAACTCGGAGCGCCCAGGTCAAAAGGTCAGAGACCTGCTACCTCTTACGTGTAGGGGTGGTAAGCAGAGACAGCAGACAGACGGTGGCTGGAGACAGGCAACCATCACAGGCAGCACACAGTTAAAAGGCCGACTACAGTAAATGACCAACATTGGAAGGTCTACACAGTGACACACTCAAATAAACAAATAAAAGACAGCGTATAGACTTTTTGGTAAACCTAACTTGTAACGTATGGTGGCCCAAGAAGGGAGAACCTATTTAAGACCGGTCATCTACTGAACAAACACACTATCATCCTCAGATATTAATACTGTATTGGGAAGCAATGGTAAGGAGATATTTAATTGCGAGATAACTTCACAGGAAATGGTTTTACATGCATTTTGTTTCTGAATATATTCCAAGGCTGTTTGAATAACCTTGGCTTCAGCAGTAAATATAAAGTTCCTGTTTTGTATCACCACGGGAACAATGAATAAACTGTTGACAACTATAACATCACAGTGGATTGGGGACATACACCTCCACTCTGATGTTAACATTTCCAGCTTTACTACGACGAGGAATTTTCATAGGTCACAAACTTAAGAGATAGATCGTTTTGTCATTTCCATGAACACCCTTCTTTTTGTAAAACGTTTTACAGATGTCACTGCTTGTTCCTTCAGCTATACCAAAAGGTCTTGTTCGGATATGTCGGAAAGCACCGGCCGATGTCTGTCACGAACAATGCCCCAAATGGAGTTGAGTGTCTTATGTGCTGAAACAGCAACCTCAACATTAGCAAACTGACTGATAGACAAGAGATAAAGAGATAAATTGCTGTTTCTTCACACACTCCACAAGAATGGAGCCACAACAGAGATAAGCTACATTTTTCACTTCTCCACAATGCCCATTAACAGCTTTTGAAATCTCAAATGGATTTAATTTTACATGTTGTTTCCACCCATCATCGATCGTTAATAAGGACAGTTTGAAGAGCATCGGATTTCCATTAGGCAAATACCAGGGTTACAGGAATGTTATACTCTAGCAAATATTACTTGAAATGCTATATTTGTCCACCCGATGTATTGACAGGTTGGCATGCATTGTTCATGCAGTCAAAGTAGATTATGTGACCACGCTTCAACGTTTAATTGACTGGGAAACTGCCTATTTCGTAAACAAAGGAACGAGATAATTATATACTCCTCAACTCAGCACAAGAAACACAGAACGTTAGTATGGGAATTGACACGCATTTACTGCACATCTGAATATTTGATGAGTGATGACACAATGACACGTGGCAGTGACGGCACCGGATATTACAAACATGGCGATTTGGAGGATCACGGGTGGACCTGTATTTTTTTCGTTTTAAAGGGATGTTGCTGTTGCATGTGTTGTTTTTATCTTGAATTTTTCTGTTAAAAGATGACATTAGTATGGATCTTAATGCGAATGTAGGATATCATCACAACCGTAAGAGTCGGCCTGTTGCCTTTCACTTGCACCAGTGTATCGCTGCCACCACCAAACCTGTCAACCTTCGTATTCCGTTGGTACCTACGGTTTCACAGTAAAGTTGGTACATTCTAGCTTCGTCATCAGATTGATGCTTGACTCGTTGCTGTTCAAGCAGTTGTCCTCACAGGACGAACTTGCTACCTAGTAATTATCCATCATTTTTCATGTTAATGCCATCTGCGTCATAGTTTCAATGTTGAGGTGAACAGTAGAGGTTGCAATTGGTGTTGTGGTCGGATGTCTCTCAGTAATGAGGATAGTCGATAATAGTTTATACATGTCAAGGGACAAGTTGACATTTTTCCGACAAAATCTTTTTCTGTCTGCATGTTTATACTTGTACAAAATTATATATGTATAGATAGCTACATTTTGTTTAGCATTCATCCAGCGTGCATCACCGTTTGAAGTACAAACATGAAAAGGGCTCATTGACTGATTTCTTCATTCGGTTTTTGGTTAATGCTACACTCCTAAATAAATAGTCAAGCAGCCTGCAAATGAACGAGGCTAGACCAGACACTCCAGTGATTGATATTATGAGCAATGATCCACGCCCTCAATAAGTCGCAAATAAAAAAGATCGCCAAGCTTGAGCCACCGATCCAGTAAATCGCCTCTCATGACAAGCATACGATGTTGAATAGCATTTTAAAAAAAGACTGACAAATATGAAATAAGTGAGTGAGTGAGTGAGTGAGTGAGTTAAAATTGTAAGTCACATCGGCAATATTTCAGCCATATCGTGACTATCAATAGTTATATATATAATACATATAATGAAACTTATATAAAACACCTGCCAACGAGGGACAGTCAAATAACTAGACTTATCACAGAAGTAAATGTAAAATTAGTATGTAATCATAAAATCAATAACACTGTACATAACATTACATTATAAAAACGGGCTATAGATCGCCAGCAACTGAAGGTAGACCGCCATACTGGGGACCATGGGGACTTACAGTACATTTCATACCTGCATGTATCCCAGCAGGATTTACATCATCCCTTCAGCAACTGGCGATTGTATGCAAAGTTAGCCACAAGTAAAAATACAAAAAATCTACGTTTAAAAGAGTAGTAGGCAGAAAAATTCTTTGAATGACATGGACTTACGATAGCCTCTCAGGGGAACAATAATTTTACACTACGTCTACCCCCTTTGAGGATACGGCCAGTAACAAACTAATATAATTTCATTCTACCAATTTTAAAAAGTCCTTCATTTTATACAATACATATTATCAAAATTTATGGAACAATTCTATCTCTTTTAAAAACCCAATAACTAAATGAGAATTAATATTATAAAAAAGATCCTTGAGAGATGATGATTTGCAATATTTATCCCTTGTGATGGCAAAATCAATACAGTCAAGCAGGACATGCTTGACTGTGATTCTCTCATCACAAGGGATACAAAATGGATGAAATAAGTAACTAAGGGAAATGAAATCATTGCATTTTTATAGCAACATGTGAGTGTGCGTGCGTGCGTGCATGCATGTGTGCATGCATGCGTGTGTGTTTGTCTGTGTGTCTGTGTGTGTGTGTGTGTGTGTGTGTGTGTGTGTGTGTGTGTGTGTGTGTGTGTGTGTGTGTGTGTGTGTGTGTGTGTGTGTGCTTGTACTAGGCCGGACTAATGCCATTTTTATCATGCCGCAGTTTAACATGAATAACTCCGAGCAGTCCAGCCCTTAATTCCGAGCGAAAGGCAGAGTAAAACCGAATCTCTTTCAATGCCTTTTAACGAACCCACGACCTTTCACTCTCCGGGCAGATGCTCTATCCACTACACCACGTTAATGGTCAATAAGTAACTATATCTATGTAATACCACCATTTGTATGACTATGTATGTAGTATTCTTTTCCAGTTACTTCACAAGAGATCAACTTTCAGTGGACAAAATTATAATAAAACCTCATAATGGTTTCACGCATCCATATTTAGTGTCAGCATATTTTAGTCAATTGAGAAAACGGTTTAGCAGTTTGCATGACACGTAAAAAAATGCACGATATATACTATGACACTTGACCTTCAGCATCTATGCCATTCATCATTAGTAAATTGGGGCTTTATATGCTGGATGTGAAAAGTAAACTGCTTTGCAACATCGGCAATGGCACTGATATGCCAATTTTAATTCACTAACAGTTTCATTTTGATATTTAACTTTTCATATTTAATTAATTTGAAGTTTACACGATATACGACTTTTCCATTGGACGAGAGGTCGGTCACATGACCGCGAAATTGACGTTCATAAGTGCATGAACGACACAATTTGACGTTCATACGTTTTTCACGAGACCGTGTTCTTGAAATGACGTAAACAGTGACGGATTTCTTCCACATTCCTGGGGAAACCCTTTGGAATTTCCTAGCACGAAAACATACATAAGCGTTCTTTCTGATCATTTAGAACCTTTATTCTTGGTCTCAGCGTTTCAGTATACATTGAGAAATGTCGGAGAGCATGACTGCATGATTGTTCACGAATATCCTCGATGCGGCCCATCCTTATGAACAAACGATGAAATGCACATCTAAACTATCGTAGTATCGACTCGATCCGTGCCTAGGCTGACATTGACCGTCTCTAGCAATCTATGAATTTACCTTAGTGTCGCATGTTTGACGCATCTTTATTCACCTTTCAATGATCGGCCAGCTGATCAATGATGACTCACACATGTAACCGCCACAGATTCATTAACAACTTCGGAAATCTCTCCCGTCACGTTTATCGTGTCGGTTATTTGGACGTCTTGTACTTGATGTAAATGTATTACGACGCGCTGTCATTGTGACTGACTTACTGAGGTAGTTCTTTACAGACCTTTCTCATCTAATGAGGATATGATTTGAACACATGTGCTGCTTAAGATGTTTCTGAAGAGCAAGTTGTGCATCCAAACGCCCATGTCACCTCTCTTTTTGAGGAACTATTTTACACCGCGATATAGCTGGTTCTTGTATGGCTGTCAGTGTAAACATGAAGTCACACGTACTAAATACAATTGTGTTAAGATCTTGGCTAACATCCTTTGAGTTAAGAAATTGTGATCAACAAATTATCATAAAGCTCCGACGTTCATACAGTTTGGCCCTTACTCTATGAAGGTTCATACTCCAATGAACTCACACAAAGTGAAGGTCAATTCTTAAATGTCTGTAACAATGAAACACATCGACATTCACGTGCAACTTTATGTATCGAATTTGAGAGAATATAAGTCCATGGCCATCAACTGGATTCAGACTCGTTGAACACACTCAAATGCTATCAATGGTGGAGAAAGGACATAAAGTTGCAGTTTGCTTAGACAAGCTACGTCTGATGATGAGATGTTTACGGCCGCCAGCACAATCTGCTCAACCTGATGTCAAGGGTCATCTCGACCCAGCATTCGGAGAAAAACATATGGCGTCATACCACCATTTCTGTGATTGATTCAAGTCACAAAGTTACAACAACAATCACATTACGCTCACTCGTCGTGACACACATGTAAATATAAACCCAATGTCTGTTAACCTTACTTAAAGTGTATTTTTCACGTCATCTATCATGTTGTACGAACTATATACAGAGGGGTCATTAGGAGGCGTCTGCAGTGAATTCAGGCAATATCACTACTCCATCGCTGCCCGCAGAAATGTGCAGGTACAGAATATACCGAGTGTACCGACGGCATACGGGGCAAAAAGGCCATGACAAAGTTGACTGTGTATTTGTTCTAAAACCCTTAAAGTACTCACTGTGTACAAATAGGCCGTGTAGTCTTGTAACACTGGTGTAGAGGGCTACACAAACGAGAACACGGAGGACCAACATCTTCACTTGACGGCTTGTTGTGTTGTGGTAACAGAGGCTCAGTCTAGGATAGCTTTCAACGTTAATTTCACACGCAAGTAAATGTATATGAATAATATAACATTCTTTTCTAATTACTCCTCAGTTACGTCAGTCATTAAAAATGTATAGTCAAGCATGTCCTGTCCTGATCTATAACATGGATCTTTCCAGAAGTACGAGATTGGAAGACGCAAGTCAAAGCATAATTGAGGATATGAAATGAAGGAAGCCAAGCTCAGCATAGGTCCCCAGGAACAGCTTGTCACAAGTTGTGACTGAATAAATCGCCGGGCCAGGAACGATGACTTGGATGGTAGCTGCACCCCAGGATGTGTAACGTTGGTCATAACATAAAATACTGGGTTGTCTGGTCCAGATTCGATGTTTTAAAGGCCACCGTCATGTAGTTGGAATATTGCTGAATACAGAGTTTAACAACAAATAAAATCCAACAAGCAGACTGTATATTTCGTAGTCGAATATGTGTTGTTACGAGTTTTAGCTCTCAGTGTTGAACAGTGAAAATTTCCACCAGTGAGCATCTTGCTGAGATTGGCTTGTGTGACGTCATCTCGCAGTCAAACTGCACCCTCTTCTTACATAGATTGTTCCTATTGCCATTATTTCATCTTTTGGATTTATATTAGTTAGGGATTGGCCGTATTAACTTCTGGGCTACAGGGGCATTCTCCAAACCAACTTATTGTTCACTGGATGTTTTGAAAATATATGCCTTTGGGATCCTTAAAGATGCCCTTTCTACTCCTTTCAATGAATGGTTACTAGCAAACTTCTTTGAAGGCATTTAGAAGTTGGAGTATTAAGTTAGGATACGATTTATGGATGAACAACTTCTTTATTACAATTAAGAGCGACGTTTTGGTGGAGGTTCTAACACTACACTTGCCTGATAACGGTGTCAGAACCTGCACTGAATATGATAGTTGTTTATCCATAAATCTTATCCTTACTTAGTTACTAGCTATTTTGACATAAATTCCCAACTTTAGAACTTGCGATTTAGACATGCAAATGCAAGTACTTCTTAAGCCCACCTACTGTGTATGCTGATAATCTGAAACTGAAAATAAGATATACAGTTGCCATTTGGTCACAATGTCTCTTTTAACCATTTTAGCTGCTGCCATGAAGTCTCAAGTAAGCGATTTGAGAAAACGGATTTGCCCTTTGCTGTGGCTGTGGGTTTGTAATTGAAATTCAATGTCTATTAAAAGTCGAAATATCACAGAGAAGATGATGTTGTTGGAGGCGAATATGTATCAATGTGTAACAAACTCCAATCGGCGTAAGGAAGTAAGTTATCAGAACTGGTGGGTGAGGTCAGTTCAGGTGTTATAAGCCAAGTCACCATTACTACTCCTGTGTAAGGCAGGCATTTATCAGAACTGCTGGAAGAGGAAGCAAATATTTTCTGGCTGAATGTTTCTAAAATAAAGCCTGACAGGAACATTGTTGTTCTTACATACTGACAGTGAGACATATTTAGAACATAATTACCTGTAGGTTTATTAGGAATCGTGCGCTTTAGCCCAACAGCTGAACATTGTAGTCTTGACAGCGGGACATATTGGTTGTCTACTGCCTGACAACGGGACAGTATTGTTGTTATCAGACTGGCAGCCGGAATGTATGGTTCATAACAACCTGCCTTCAGCACATTATAGTTGTCAACCTGACATTTATGTTGTGAATAGCCTCACACCAGTACATAATGGTTAACACTGTTGCAGCTGGCCATTACAGCTTGAACAGCCTGTCAGTTAGGCAGTATTGTTGTCAACAGGTCCAGAAATAATTTGGTCCAGGTTAACCCATGGCATTTTGTCATAAGAAACAGAAAATAAAATGCTTTCATGGTGTTATAGAAAAACAATTTATTCACATCAGCAGGTGTAGATACAAATCATATACAAAACATATACAGAGACTCATAGAGTGTGTCATTAGGATTCCATGTGAGATACAATGGAATATATTGTTAACATTCACGTTCTTGTTCAAAGTCAACATTCAAAATTGTCCATTTTCTTGCAAAAACACAATGTTCAACATTCTTCCTACCAAAAAACATTTCTGTAGTTTTTAAAAAAAATTATATGACGGATAGAAATTAGGAATATCCCTTTGATACAGACAGTATAAATATATTTAACAAGCCATGATATGATTCACTTGTTTAAAATTCCGCGTCATTGCAAATAATTCTCTCTTAGTATATCTAGTTTGTTGGAAAAATCAATATTGAAAATCACAGTGTTTAGTATCCTTGGTGTCAGATCAAGAGAAAAGTGTAAATAATAATAAATGCTTGTTGCCATTACAAAGCGATTACGGTAAAGAAACAGTACCTTTGATGTGATAACTGCTCAAATTGTATAACTACTCATATGGACAAAATAAAAAATACATTCATTTTAGTGGTCAAAGTGTTTCAATATATAGAATATAATTATTATTCTACACTATAAGTGATCGAACATTTGATATTCACCCCGATTATGTATCTTGGTTTGTCAGTAAGTGGTAAACGAAGACCTGCATCGATTGGGGCTTTCCTCCCACATTAAGCTAACACGCTATGACAAAACTTGAATAGTGTAAAAAGTGGCCTTAAACCCAACTCACTCACTTTTACTTTGTTCATTGGTTGGTAAACGCCAACTAGTAAAAGTGCGACAGACTGGTCGATCGCACAACATTTATTGTTGATATATGCCAGGAGGTACTCAGTGTATATATTTTAGCACAAAGCCAGTCATGAAATCAATTGTTTGTGAACGCGGGCACATGTTTGTCATACTGTATACCAGACAGGGAGGTAATATTAAACTATTCCAACTCTTTTCCCTACCTGCTTACTTTCTAGGAAATAAATATGGTGGGCTTTACATTTTTGTCATATTTCGACCTACCAACCTGAATGTTTGGTCCAAAGAGTTTGTCATTATCATCATTGGGTGAGGCGAGATATTTATGACTAACTTCAAATCCGAGTTAGCGTATGGTCTGATTGCATAAGGTGACGTCGAATGCAATGGGTGACCTCAAATGCCCAATGATACAATGTGACGTCATTTCGCGTCAACTCATCAATCAGCATTGCAAGTTGCTAAAAGATGGGAAAGTTATTACTTTTGATTTTGCTACCTTAAAGGGTAATATAATACATATCGAATAGTGAATTAAAGAAACAAGAGTACGTGCATGCTCGCTGTCAAGCAATATGATGTCAGTGTGAAAACAATCAAATCATGACGAGAAAAACAAAACCGTCATTGTACAATAAAACGAAATCAACAAGTCACCGAGTTAATCCAATTAATCACAAACGTTTATGAGAACAAAATGATCCCAGAGACCCATGACGCCAAACATGATATTTGATGGAAACTCTTTCAAAGTTGGAGAAATATTAGACAACTTACAATATAATAATCTTAAATTGAAGCTTGTTATAGTTGTGATAAAGTGTGAGAGAAGCTTGCTATCTATTAGTTGAGAGTTCACATACAGGAAATAGTGTAGGTTGTCCAAGAATTGTCTTCAGATGAAGACAACACTTTGTCAGTTAGCAGACAGTTCTCATCGGTCAGCGACACTGCACTGTAGCTGAAGTCGATGCATGAATTATATCGGTGACAAATGATGCCACAGTCTCCGGCTGTCATGGCTGACGTGGTAAGGAACGGCTGAGACACCTTCTTGTTCTTCAACGGTTTGTAGTAGGAACCTAGAAAAGATAGTTAATTGATAGTCAGGAAGGCAAATCAGTGACTTCTGTTATGACGAACGTCCCACGACAACGGGTACGGTGACATGCAATCAGCAAAGTCTTCGCGACTGACGACCCGATCCATTTAGTCGCCTCTTACGACTAGTAGTGATAGAATTGGGCCTGTCTTAAACCAGATACAGAGCTAAAACATTTCAACTCACTCAATCTAACTGTGCTTATACACAGGATTATATTATATATAGGGGATTATGACTTTGAACCGATCTGACTTTTGTGAAGCCAACGGTGAATCAATGGTTTACTCACGATATGGCTTCTTAGCCCCCTCCCCTTGAACATCCACATGTCCGATAACGAGGTAAACATTGGTGGTAGATGGCCTTGTGACACGGACAAAGCGGACAGGGAATGTGGCATTGCAGGTGAAGGTGAACTCTTCCCCAGCAGTGACAGAGCTAGACACATTCCCACACAACACCACCTGGACATCAGAACAGAGGCTGACATCTTTGTCCATCACCTCCACGAAGGCATTTCTCATGTGTAGATCTGTAAACAAAGGAATATCCCAGTGCACGTGTCAAACATAAGATCCCTTGTTGCTTACTGTATGGTCAGGTTATTCATGACCTGCCTGCAGCTAGGTAAATCTGTTGTTTCTTCAATGTAAAACAAGTGTTGTGATGCACTGTTCCCATTAACAACACTGTATGGAAAGTGTTCAGATAACCGAGAGTGCGTAAATCTTGAAAACTATGACTAGTGACATCCTATACAATTGATTTTGATTATTGAATTGCCCTGGAACTGATATAAAACAATTCGTGGGATATATGGTGTGCAACCTTTTTTATATATGTTTACACATTATTGCTCAATGAAACAAAAGTGACGTGTTGTATGAACTTACTCCATCTCTCGTAGGTTGATGCTGTGAGGGTGATGCTGCTGATGGTGAAGTAGCCCCTCAGGTCGACCTCCCACCAGGACGGGCTGGCACGTTTTGTTACTGATCCAGATGACACATATGATTTATTTAAAGCCCGACTAGCAACATAGTTAAAAAAGGTACCACTCTGTTTTGCATATTTCCCATTTGAAATATTTTCACCTGCAAGGAAAATATGTAGAGACTAATCATCTTTGTTGTAAAGAGTGCATGTGTGGTGGGAAAAAAATTCAGTGTTTAAGGACGTGAACCCCACATTTTTCAGCTTAAATGCCAACAATATGTGAAACA